AGCGAGAAAAGCTTAGTATTCAACTACACCGCTCTCTTCATCAGTGCACACCTAATCTGTTGTATATGCTGGCATTGGAAATATGATCGCTACGCCTGATTCCAAGCATTATTCTATAACAGCTACTTGCGAAACTATTTAGTTTGCGTTTCATCTTTTCCGTTATAAACCATGTTTCACTGCCGTATAGCAGGATGACTGAAACAGATTAACTTTGATGGCACCTGGCAGATGATTACTTCTCTATGAGCCCAACTTAGAAAAATTCCGAAATGCTCACATTGTGAAAGTTTGAATTTCTGTATAAATACAACCTTGAAATTCCCTACAAGTGCAATTCTGAAATTCCGAAAGTTTCAAAATTCTGTATGCATTCTGTTATACACAAGTGCAGCTCTGAAATTCTGTAATTCTAACATTCTGAAACCTTTATCAAAGCTACGATCAATATGAAAAGTTAACGGGGAAAGAAAAGGCGATCATAGTAAGTATGCCAAGGTCCATCAATCGTTCTTTACTCTGCACTGTTAGATTTAGCGAGAAGAGACCGAGCGAGAAAAGGAGAACAGAAATCAGCCCAATATATACAAATGCTCAATGAAGAGGAACAGAAACGGCTAGAGCAGAGTCAGACAACAGGTTGAACTCTCGCTTGTTTACTTCCATCTCACTCTCTTCTGATACAACGTGCCACATTTATGTTGAGCTGTTATTCTAGAATGCTGTAATACAAAATCACATACGCAATTTAACAGCTAGTCTGGAAATAATATGGACGTCGACAAAAACAATAGAAGAGAAACGAAACAGAGTGAAGAAACGGTGGACGAAATTTGTAGACGAACGAGCGAGTTAACTCGGTTGACACGTAAGTAAAATGTTAATGTTACTGAAAAAAACTGAAAACGTTTTCTACTCTAGGCTATACCTGATCAGTACTAGACAAAAAAGAATGAATGTACAATGAACACTTAACAACAGTGAGAAAATCCATATGAATCGTTTATTGTTATTTGTCATTATTTTTAAATAAAAAGCTAAAGATAGTACGACTAGTTGTTACTGGAAGGTATTCACAAGATAAATTGTTTTTCACCACAAAGTGATGATAAATGTTTGAAAATGATGGACATAATATTTGACGGTGCTTTAGAAAAAGATTATAATGCTGAACAACTAAGACCAACTCGTACTTTCTACTCTCAAAAAAAAAAGATGCCGTACGGAACTTAAAAAGGGTTTCGAGAATTGAAACCATTTCTAAATCTTTTTTAGGTTCTGTACGAACAAGGTTTCGTACGATACCTTTTTTCCTGGTTTCAAAAAAGGTTCCGTATGAGAGGTTTCGTATGATACCTTTTTCCGCACTTTCAAAAAGGGTTTCGTATGAACTCGTAGAAGTTTTGTAAGGACTCTATCTTATGGATTTCATATACTTCCTTTTTATTAGATTTTCTATTTAGCAAAGAAAGTTGAAGCTTTTTCTTGAATGAATTGCACAAAACCCTGAAGCGTAGTTAATAATACCAAAAATCAGTTTATTGGAGGGTTTTTGTATCTGCCACTATACGAAACGCAGCCATTTTTCCGTATTTTGCGCACAAACTACTATACTATAAACATGCTTATAAGCGTGCATATTTACCGAGAGTATCCACGTCTTCTCAATGAACAAGACTCATCACAGCTATCAGCACCAAATGTTGAATATGTTGTTCTGCATGTCGATCCAAGTTCACATCAAATTTTAAAATTAGAATCACCGAGATGAAAATATCGTATATGTTTGAATAGCGTTCGAAATGTGTAGTTTGGTTGTGGCTTGGTGCAAAGTGAACAAAAATGGTAGTTTGGAGTTAATATCTTAAAAAGACTTACTTTCAAAATTATCAATAATTTGCTGATTGTTGCTAAACGGTGATCACCATTTGATTATTTGACTACAGTTTCATGTTCTTGGATCCATGTAAATGAATTAAATGATATTCTCTTGACTTTATAGTATATCTGTTTGTGCGCAAAATACGGAAAAATGGGTGCGTTTCGTATAGTGGCAGATACAAAAACTCTCCAATAAACTGGTTTTTGGTATTATTAACTACGCTTCAGGGTTTTGTGCAATTCATTCAAGAAAAAGCTTCACCATCCTTTGTTAAACAGGAAATCGTGTCTATCTCAGCTGGGAAGCTTTTTCCTGAGGTGGTTTCTATGAGAGAAAACGTAGAAAATGAAATTCTGCACAAAACTGAAAATCCTCATGAGCCAGTCGATTTACCCAAAACCGTTTCGTTTTCGAGATAAAATCGTTTTTAATGTTTTTCTTCAAAAGTATCAGTGCTATTTCCGCTAAAACAACTGCGAAATTCCACAGCAATTATTAAATGTCATACTCCAGTTTCTAGTACCGAGCTGTTTTAGCAGAAATAGCACTGATACTTTTGAAGAAAAACATTCAAAATGATTTATCTCGAAAACGAGACGTTTTTGCTTGCGATCCAGAAAACTCATCCAGAAAACCAATTGTTCATCACCGGGATATGTTTTGAGCCATGAAAAGGAACATATCCAGACATCCCGGAATTTTAAACCAATTACCTGCACGTAGATTTGTAGCATTTTTCGAGAGCTATAGATTACATTAAGAACGGTTTGCACGTTTGAAATTTGCTTTTTTCTCCTATGAACAGAAAGTAGTTGAATTATATAAATGATCACAAAATCTGTTTCACTTCGGTTGATAGATGATCATTCATCCTCGTACTAATCGCCATCCTGACGTATCTAGAGAAAGGATAAATTCATTGTCAAAATTTTCAGTGACTCATTCAAGTTTCATCAGCTTAGCGTATAATAAGAACCGAAAGCAAACAACAGTTCGTACGTTTGTTCGATCCACAACATCTCTCGCTGCATTAAAATGCAAACAGATTAAAAAGAAAATGTGGTTATTCTATAACCGAGAGACAGCAAACACTCGATCTGGAGAGAGATGGAGAACTATCGTGAATTATTAGTGGAACCAACCGGAATAACATTCGAATGCCGCACAATTCAAATATTTACTACATCGACATTCGTTCTTTTCGGCACCAGAAATTTGTTCAGGCAATAAATTTAATAAAGAATCAGACATTTGGAGCTATGATTGTGTAATACTTGAAACAACAAGTGGTACTATACCATGGAAAGAAAACTATACAGATGATAAAGTATTGTTTCGTATATTACAACAATATGATAAATATGAAACAATATTTCAACAAATATGTCAAACGCAAGAAGCATCAAGAACATTTTGTTAATTACTTTGTGATTGTTGTTTACGGCTGACAGACAGTCGTCCGCATTTTATGGACATTTTACATAGATTACAACAAATAACCGACTCAGATTTAATGACAATTAATAAATCAATATCAATCAGGAGTATTATATCAAATCTTATATCATCATCGTGGAATTATTACCTGAATAAATTTAATGAAATGATAAGGACATTTCTCTTTTGAATCTAAAAACTAACATATCAAGTTTCCATCAATGAACTATATAGCTGTGAAATATGCAATTATAACTGAATAATTTCCTAGTGAAGTTATGCGTGTACCGGGGAAGCAAATGGTCAGCCAATAAACGCTCTTATCAGTTCTTAAACTAAGTTTTTTTTATTAAAAGATACAATGATGTACAATCTCTTCGAAATTTATCCTGCTTTAAGTCTAAAAGCTTTTCTGAAAATTTTTAATTTTCTTCCGTACTGTTTTCTTCCTGAAAAATTCAGAATTGTATATGAGTCGAGCAAAGGAGACCTGAACAAAACGCGATAGTTTAAATAAGGGACAGATAATACAAAAATATAACAGACCTTTTTAGCATGGTTGGGTAGAATGCATTAAGTTATCTAGAGAAAACTCAATTTCGGACGTTTGAAAGTTATTTTTCGGTAAAAACAGTCAAAACAATCGATTTTTTGAAAATTGGCAAAAATCAGTAAATTTTCGACAACTAAGAAAAATTTTTATGTTTATTACTATTCTAACAATTCTAAAAGTATTTTTTTCTGATGGTCGATCCAAAACTGAGTATAGAAACGCATTTTGGCAATTTTAGAACCTAAACTGACTTTTAAAATCATCGAAGACCAGCAGAACTGATAAAAACCTACCCGTACATCTTGCAAGTCTATTTAGTTCTTTTGGTTACAAGTTAAAAGTTTTCTTTTTCGTTCTTCAGAATCCACTTCTACATAATATGAGGCTGTAACAGAATGACAAAAACAAATTTCTCGTACTGTATGTAGAACTTTTTTTTGATGGAATTTTCTTCGGGTTGTAACTCAAGGCAAACTTATAAAAACAGAACAACAAAGAACAAAAAGAAAAGGAACACTCGAACGTACTGTACGCTGAAAAAATAAATTTTCTTTTTGGTTGTCAGATAAAAAACTGAAGCAGAAAGCAGTTCAGAGAGAACACTTTTTCCTTACCTTTTGAAAAATCTGCACAAAAATAAAAAGAAAGAAAAACAAAGATGGCTTCTGCTTCAGCTTCTACTACCACTACCCCAGTTCTTCTTCGTGCACGTAACTTTCAGTGGTATTGGAATTCAGCGGCTGATCCCTGGTCTTCAACAGGAGAAAAGTGGCAAAAGTATTCTGACGTTGAAAATGAAATAATTGAAGATGCATTAAACGGGAAAAAGAAAGACGTCGAACTCGATGGCAACTACGTCGTTAGTCTAAAGCATGAAGTTCAGTATAAGAAGGAGGATATGAAGAGACAACGTCCAATCAAACGGGTGCAGCAACCATCAGATCGAAGCAACGTTCATCTGAGAGAGGAAAGATTTGCATTACCAATCGCATTAGCTAAGAGTACAGGTGTGTCGACGACAACAAGCCATTCTACAGACAGCGAGTGGGATGCATTAGGACACCTACAAAAATATGGTAACCTTACTGGTGCTTATTATGAACTTGAAATCAGGGACAAAAACAAAAGCCACACAGATGTAGTCGAAGAAGCTGCCAATGGAATTCTGGCTGAAGGTGCAAAAATTGGTAAAGAAAAAGAAGCACAGTGGTTAGCTCAAAGATTACTTGAAGCGAAACATTTTAGTGAAAACAAAATAATAATACATAATACTGAGACAGGTCCAAAAGAAATTGGCGAGACGTGTATCTATCTTTACACTAAAGAATCGTTTTGGTATAAACTTCTTAACTCCCTACTTCGTAATTATCAAACGATCACACGAGAACAAGTGAAGACGGTGGGACCATTCTGTTGGTTACTTGAGAGATATACAGTTGGAAATATGAACGACGTATTAACCGTCTATAGAGGTCTTACAGTTACCGATGAAGAACGAAAGAATTTCATGAAAGGACGAGTAAAATTCACCGCCTTCACTTCAACAAGTCGAGACCGGAGACTTGCTGAAATCTTCGGTAACACATTATTGATATTTGATTTGGATGCGAAATATCTATGGGATGATAGCAGGAATATTCAGTGTGCAATGGACGTGTCAGCTATTTCTGATTTTCCTAATGAAGAAGAGTTTACAATAATTCCTGGCCAGTGCTTTGATGTTGTTCGTCATGAATTTGACGATAACACGAAGAAATATATTATTTATCTTAAAGTAACCAACTACGCTGTATGAATGTAGTTTCGGTTACTTGATACTACAATCTCTGCACCATCTTATATCATTTAACTCTGTCTTCAAATCTTGTGGCTTGGTGCAAAGTGAACAAAAATGGTAGTTTGGAGATAATATCTTAAAAAGACTTGCTTTCAAAATTATCAATAATTTGCTGATTGTTGCTAAACGGTGATCACCATTTGATTATTTGACTACAGTTTCATGTTCTTGGATCCATGTAAATGAATTAAATGATATTCTCTTGACTTTATAGTATATCTGTTTGTGCGCAAAATACGGAAAAATGGGTGCGTTTCGTATAGTGGCAGATACAAAAACTCTCCAATAAACTGGTTTTTGGTATTATTAACTACGCTTCAGGGTTTTGTGCAATTCATTCAAGAAAAAGCTTCACCATCCTTTGTTAAACAGGAAATCGTGTCTATCTCAGCTGGGAAGCTTTTTCCTGAGGTGGTTTCTATGAGAGAAAACGTAGAAAATGAAATTCTGCACAAAACTGAAAATCCTCATGAGCCAGTCGATTTACCCAAAACCGTTTCGTTTTCGAGATAAAATCGTTTTTAATGTTTTTCTTCAAAAGTATCAGTGCTATTTCCGCTAAAACAACTGCGAAATTCCACAGCAATTATTAAATGTCATACTCCAGTTTCTAGTACCGAGCTGTTTTAGCAGAAATAGCACTGATACTTTTGAAGAAAAACATTCAAAATGATTTATCTCGAAAACGAGACGTTTTTGGGTAAATCGACTGGCTTAGACGGATTTTCAGTTTCATGCAGAATTTCATTCTCTACATTTTCTGTCATATGCACCATCTCAGAAAAATGCTTGCCGCCCGAGATAAACACGACTTTTTGTTTAGCAAAGAAAATCGTTTATGACGATCGTATACGGCTGAACATAAAAGACCGTAGTATCTTTTTAGGAGGTTCGCGCTCAGCAAAAAGAAACTTTTCACAAAAGTTCAGTGTTCTAGCTTCGAATTCTATATCTGGAAAAAAGAAACAGCAAAAATAAAAAGAATAAACGATCATTCGCATAGGACATCAGCAAACAAAGCACGCTCTCAGCTTTCTCAATTAAAGGGGTCTAAAAGGCCTTTCTCTCTCAGAGGAAAAGCTTTTACATACACAAAACAGCATCTGTTACCAGATTCACTAATGCTGATTGGAACCAATGCTACAGAACTAAAAATGTATGTATGATCAACAAAAGCGCTTATATAGTGTGTATTTTGTTATAAAAAAAATGTGACAAGAAGCGATGTTGACACACGATATGCAACTGATCATACGTGACTATATATATACCCACATAAACAACAAGTAACGCTCATCTTCGATTCACTAACCCTTGACTGAAAGATTCTCGTGCTAACGAACCCGACATGTACGCGCGAAATTCGCATCTTACAGAAAATGAATTTTGTTGTCTTCGGTATGGTTGAATAAAACTACTCCAGTTATCTACTTAAAACTGATTTCGATGGGTCTAGAAGTCACTGTGAAAACCTTTTAATCGTTTGAAAATAGTCCAAAATGAGGAAACTATTCGTATTACTTCTTCCGAAAGTTCACTCGAAAACACACGATACAGTCCGCACAAAAACAAACCTGATACCACCAACAAAGGAAGCAAAGCATGACTGACACAACATCACCAAAACCTCCGTACACCATACATGAATCTGCACCCCAGCTGCAGTATACAGCTACCCACACTCTAAAAAGAACAATCACACAAAACTACAAAACTCGCCGGTACGGAACATACAACAACGAAACACGACACAAACGCATACCGCCAGGTGTCGCACGCAAGCAACCGCTTGCACCACAACAGTACCACCAACGATACACATTGCCAACGAAATCCGATACACAGCAACACACCCAACCACCTGTCCATCAAACCCACACACAATCACCAACTTCAACAAAACTCAAACCCTGATTGGACCAAATTACGAAAAAAAACAGAAGTCCCCATGGGTAAAACATGGAAATTGCACAAAAAGCCACCAAACCAACGCCCACATAACGCATCTCCAACAGTCCGCGATTACAGATCGCCACGAAGTTGGTGCCAGCAGATAAAATATGTAAAATTTAGTTTCGGACATTTTCGGTTCGAGAGCCAGATTTGTCAG